CAGATCATGGCTTCCGAGGAGAGTTCTTCCTTCGCTTTGCCCCTGGGCTCCCTGGCTGGGTCCCACGAACCTTGCCTAGAGAGGGCCCCTGCTTTATAAACCTCCTGGGTCTCACGTAGCTTTCAGCAGCTTCGCTGAGGCTCAGGGACAGGCGGGTGGTGCTAAGGAGGAGTAGGCTGTGCACAGGTGAGTCCCAGCTCTGCCACGTCCCTGCTGTGTGACCTTCACAGGTGACTCCACCTCCGTGTGCCTCGGTCCCCACAGCAGAAATGCTGGCTCTTGAGAATTGCAGTGCTCTTGAGAGTCAAGCAAAGTGGTGTCTGGAGCTGGCCATTCAGTATTGTTATTTTTACAGTCGTGGTTTCCCCAGGGCTCTCCTCTGGGGGCTAGAAGATACTTGAGGCCCAGCTTCAAGGGGAGCTCCCCTTTGCCCCAGACCCCATGTTGCAAACCCTTGAGAAGGATCCTGGACAGAGGCCCTTGCTTTTCGTCTGGAATTCCGAATGCTGCAACCTTGCAACTTTGATCCAGTTAGAATTGGATCGGAGGCTTGTCAGGCAGCAGGCAAGCTCCAGTTACTCCCAGATAACCTCCTGCATCGCTGTGGTTTCTGGAGCTCTCTGTAGGGTGGGCAGTAGGAGCCAGGGTAGGTGGGGTAGGCCCGCCCCTGCAGGTGTCTTCGGCACCCTCCCCAAGTTGAGTGCCTTCCGCCCAGCCCTGTGTGCGGTGCTGTGTGCCCGCAGTCCACCAACCTCTTAGCCCCAGGCCCTGGTTGGGACTAAGAGAGCTGGGAGGGCTGAGCTCGTCCAGGTGGCAGAGCCACTCTTGGAGCCCCAGCTGGGGTGGCTCCAGGGCCCGTGCTCCTGATTCCCATCTGGAGTAGCCTCCCAGAGCTGCTTCTGGGCTGGTGGTGTGGCTGTGCCGTCTTTCATGTATTCGGGTTCTCTCCACAGAGAGACCATCTGTGTTCTCTCCACCCCTCTCTTTGAAAACAAAGATGATACCACGCTGTACATCTTAGTCTGCAATCTGCCATCTTCACGTGACAGTCTCTCAAGATTTTTATATATGAAAGACATATTTTCCTTTTTAATATATTCACTGTATCTCTTAGGAGATCTGTGATTTTTTTTTTTCTCAATCCACCATCATTTACTCAGAGTCAGCATTAAAAAAATTTAAAATTTGTGAGAGGACAACTATGTCTGATAAAGCATGTCATGGAAGGCTGGGCACGGTGGCTCACACCTGTAATCCCAGCACTTTGGGAGGCTGAGGCGGGCAGATCATGAGGTCAAGAGATTGAAACCATCCTGGCCAACATGGTGAAACCCTGTCTCTACTAAAAATACAAAAATTAGCTGGGCATGGTGACGGGTGCCTATAGTTCCGGCTACTCTGGAGGTTGAGGCAGGAGAATTGCTTGAACCAGGGAGCCACTGCACTCCAGCCTGGCAACAAAGCGAGACTCTGTCTCCAAAAAGAAAAAAGGAAAAAAAAAACCTGTCGTGGGGTCGGCTCCTGCCCCATGCCCCCCCCCCTGTTTTTTTTTTTTTTTTTTTTTTTTTGAAAACAGGAATATTAGTGTAGCGTTTGGGAATTAGGCTATAATTTGTTCCAAAGAGGGCATGGGTTAAAGCAAGTTGAGAAATACTGGCTTGAGACGTTGGGCCAGGGAGTGCAGAAGCCAACACCTCTCTGCCTGGGTGTGCACCAAGGCTCAGTGTATGCTCTGCCCGGGTCTGCGCTGGGCCTTGCTGCGCCCTGGCTCTGGGACCACCTGGACTTTGGCTGCCTCACTCTTTCATTACCCAAGTATCTACCGAGTATCCACCATGAGTTCTGGGTGCAGAACCGTGTTCAAAGCAGGTGGAAATCTCCGCCTCCATGGGGTGGACAGAGATGGGTTGTGGGGACTCCAGTCTCTGAGTGGGTGGGGAGGGCAGCGTGTCTTTTGTGATTCCAGCTACCAAGGCTGGAACAACTGCTGTTTTTCTGGAATCCGGTTTTTTAATCTGTGCCTCAGTTCCTCCTTTGTAATGGGTGGGAGTGGGAGTGGTTGATGATAGCGAGTGCTTCGCATGTGTTATTAGAGGCTGTTCCTTTTCCTCGACTCCCAGTTCCCTTCCCTGGAGGCAGGCAGGGCTCCAGGATCGTGACTGCTCTGCTGGAGATGTTTGTGCCTGTGTGAGTTTGTGTCCGCAGAAGTTCATTATTTTGTAACTCAGGAGCACAGAACTGTACACTGTTCTTCACCTTCCTTCATTTTGAAATGTTTCATAGAGGCAGGATCTTCCTGTGTTGTCCAGGCTGGTCTGGAATTCCTGGGCTCAAACCATCCTCCAGCCTCTGCCTCCCAAATTGCAGGGATTACAGGAGTGAGCTGCCTCACCTGGCCCTGCACCTTCCTTTTTTCCTTAAGATGTCTCAGGTCATCCCAAGTCAGCATACAGACCTGCCTCCGTCTTTCCCCCAGCTGCAGAATGTCTCATTGCACAGATGCCTCGCAGGCATTCTACCTTACAACAGCCTGTGTGTTAAACACTGCTGTGATACTTCATCAAATCGAAGGTGCCGTCATTGGGGGGGCACCTTATTTCGTATAGTGCCAAGAAAAAGGAGTGCCCAGTTAAATCAAGACAGACCCCAACTGTGAGATGCACCTGCATTTCAGCAGTGTCAAAATGTGGAAGAGGGTGCATGGTGGGACAGATGGAAATAGAAGTAGTTTCGCGTGGTACACCAGGAAATGACACTGGGGAGGAATACAGCCCAGCAGGGTGCCCCGGCTTGGATTTTGAAGCCCAATCCCAGCCACTTGTTCCCTGCCTGACCTTGGGTGGGTGCCCCAGTGCCTCAGGAACACAGGAGCAGTGACACTTGCCCTGGGGCGGGGGCCACCCTGGAAGATGCGTGTGAAGGGCTGGCTGTACTCCCTGTGGCTTATTTAAATCACTGGGATTTGGGAAGTTGCCTACTTGTACTCTTTGAATTTTCTCATTATTAGTAAACATTTTATTTTTCCTATTGGTCATGTGGGTATTTTCTAGACACAAGCAAAATACACAGAGGGTTCAAAATGCATTGGGTTGAAAACACCTGATAGTGGTGTGGTCAAAAATGGGGGATGTGGACAATTTGGTGTCATTCAGCCTAGTATATTTTTCATTTTGGTCTCTGGTCATTTTCACTTATTAGGCAGAACAGTTTGTAAGTATCCAAAGAAAATTCTTTCCTTTTTTTTGCTGATTGCAGTGGCATAATCATGGCTCACTGCAGCCTCCACCTCCTGGGCTCAAGCAGTTCTCCCACCTCAGCCCCCGAGTAGCTGAGACCACAGGCATGTGCCACCACAACACCTGGCTAATTTTTTATCTTTGGTCTCTACAAAATGGGTATCCGTGTTGCCTAGGCTGGTCTCAAACTTCTGGATGCAAGCCATCCTCCCACCTCAGTCTCCCAAAGTGCCAGGATTGCAGGTGTGAGCCACCAAGCCTGGCCCAAAGACAGTTCTTTCCCAGCAAGTTCTAAACCATGAGTGACAGAACTAGTTTGTTGTTTATTTTTTTATTATTATTATTTATTATTTTGAGATGGAGTCTCACACTGTTGTCCAGGCTGGAGTGCGATGGTGCGATCTTGGCTCACTGCAACCTCCCCTTCCTGGGTTCAAGTGATTCTCCTGCCTCAGCCTCCCAAGTAGCTGGGACTACAGGCGCATGTCACCACACCTGGCTAATTTTTTGTATTTTTAGTAGAGACTGGGTTTTACTATGTTGGCCAGGCTGGTCTCAAACTCCTGACCTCAAGGGATCCTACGCCTCGGCCTCCCAAAGTGCTGGGATTACAGGCGTGAGCCATCGCACCTGGCCTGTTTTTATTTTTTATTTTTGTTTTTTGAAAACTTTTTTAGAGATGGGTCTTGCTGTGTTGCCCAGGCTGGTCTTGAATGCTTGGGCTCAAGCACTTGGCCCACCTCGACCTCCCAAAATGCTGGGATTACAGGTGTGAGCCATAGTACTTAGCTTCTAGTTGACTGTTTTTAAACCAGACTCCCTTCTGCTGGGACCTGCTTCCTGTCCACCAGCTTCTCTCCTCTACGTCCCTGGGCTGCCAGGACCTCTGTCCCTGCCATGCAGACTCCCTGCTCCCAGCAGACTGTCCCCTCCAGGGATCCTGCGGGCCAGCTCTTGCCTTGTAATGTCTTCGGCTCCTTTGGCTAATGAATGCTGCTGCTTACTCTTGGTTTAACTTTACAAAACATTGGTAACTTATAAACTGGAGCTTGTCATTTGTTCTGAAGAATTTACAAGAGCCCCGTCTCTCCCTCATTCAAGGCTTAGGGTGCTGGCTCATTTTCAAGGGGCTGTGAAAAGAGAGGGTCACTCCTTTTTGATCATTTGCCTGCTGCCTGGCTTCAGATGGCCCTCAGGCCAGGTCACTTTAGGGAAATTGGTGATCTCTCTTTGTATTCCACTTTTTTTTTTTTTTTTTTTAAGACGGAGTCTTGCTCTGTCACAAGGCTGGAGTACAATGGCGTGATCTGTGCTCACTGCAACCTCTGCCTCCTGGGTTCAAGCAATTCTCCTGCCTCAGCCTCTTGAGTAGCTGGGATTACAGGCGCCTGCCACCATGCCCGGCTAATTTTTGTATTTTTAGTAGAGACAGGGTTTTGCCATGTTGGCCAGGCTGGTCTCGAACTCCTGACCTCGTGATCCATCCGCCTCAGCCTCCCAAAGTGCTGAGATTACAGGCATGAGCCACCGCGCCTGGCCTGCGTTCCACACTTACCCGCTCCTCACCATCACAGCCGGGGGTCTGTGGAGTTTCACTCAGGTCCCTTCAGCTCTCTCTGGTTCTGACAGATCTTGCCCAAATTCCCATGGGTATGTGGTCATTTGCTTGCCTGTTGCAGGGGGTGGCTGGGAGGTGGCACTCAGCCCTTTGACTCTGAGGCCCAGGACTCCTGGCTCCTGGGACTCACGTGTGTCCCTGCATAGGGAGGAATGGATGCGGGCCATCCAGATGGTTGCCAACAGCCTCAAGCAGCGGGCCCCAGGTGAGGACCCCATGGACTACAAGTGTGGCTCCCCCAGTGACTCCTCCGCGGCCGAGGAGATGGAAGTGGCGGTCAGCAAGGCACGGGCTAAAGTGGTAAGTGCTGGAAGCAGGGGTGGGGCTGCCAGCCTGTGATGACCCCCACCCCCATTGCTGGCCCTGCTCTCCTTGGTTTCCATACACAGTTCAGGGGGCTCAGCTGAGAGACAACAGAGCTGCCCTGCAGGGTGGGGGTGATTTCAGGTGGCAGGTGCCCTCGGGTCTTCTCCGTGCCCGTGGGGGAGGGAGCAACCCTAGGTGGACCCACTGCAGCTTCGTCTTGGGAGGTGGTGAAGGCCTGGCTAGCCCCACGTCAGAGCCCAGCCCTCCCAAGGCCCTGTGCCCGCAGAGCCTGGTCTGAAGGCCACTTCAGAACACACGGTTGCTGCCCAGAGCCTCCCTTCCTGCTCCAGCCTAAGCCGTTTGGCAACAGTGTCTTTTGGTTTTCCTCTTTCTTTTGTTAAAATTTCCTCCCATGGGCCGTGAGCCAGGCGCTGACTGCCCCCACTCTCCCTGTCCCTGGCAGACCATGAATGATTTCGACTATCTCAAACTCCTTGGCAAGGGAACCTTTGGCAAAGTCATCCTGGTGCGGGAGAAGGCCACTGGCCGCTACTACGCCATGAAGATCCTGCGGAAGGAAGTCATCATTGCCAAGGTGCGTGCCCCGGGAACTGTGCTTGCTGGCCCCTGCGGGGGCTGCGGTCTGGAGCCTGACCCTGAGGCCTAGACGCTTACCCACGCTTTCTGCTGCCGTGGGCTTATTTCCCCCACGAGTTCCCTCCAGACAGAAAAGGGGGAGCCTGAGGCCCAGAGAGGAGCAGCAGGCCTTGCTGCTGAGTCCCCACTTCCACCCTCTGGTAGGGGCTGGGGGTGCCTGTGGAGAGAGCGAGCCTGGGGGCCTCTCCCAGCAGGTACTGTCAAGGGGGGCTGGGGCCTGTTGGGGAGGCTGTGAGGACGTTCCTGTTGGGGAGGCCAGGGCTCTGCTCAGGGTATCCCAGTTGGAGGTCGGGCCAAGAATGGAATTCTACTTTTTCCCTTATTTGAAGTTTTTGTAGTGGAAGATTCCAAAGATATTCAAAAATTTAAAAAGAAAATAAATATTACGGACCCCCATGTAGCCACTGTCCAGTTTGACCAGTTATCAGCGTTTAGCCAGCCTTGTTTCCTTAGCTCTGCCTGCCTCTCTTATTCTGGACTACTCTAAGGCCTGTCTTAGACATCACGTCGCTTCACTCACCCACACTTGAACACGTGCCCTGACAGATGAAGGCTGTAAAGAATATAATCGTGGTGCTGCCATCAGAGCCAGTCACATTAACTGTTCATTCCTGATGTGGTGATCGGGCCTAAGGCAGCATTCCTCAGCCTCAGCACTGTTGACATTTTGGGACAGATTGTTCTGTGCTGTCGGGGCAGCCCTGTGCATTGTAGGGTTTTAGCAGCACCCCTGGCTTCTACGCACTAAAGCCAATAGTAGCTCCCTAGGTTGTGACAATCAAAAATGACTTTTGGGTTGGGTGCTGCAGCGTATGCTTGTAATTCCAGCACGTTAGAAGGCTGAGGTGGGAGGATCGCTGGACTGGGCTCGTTGACCAGCCTGGGCAACAAAGCGAGACCCTGTCTCTATAAAAATAAATTAGCCGGGCATAGTGGCGTGCACCTGCAGTCCCAGCTGCTCAGGAGGCTGAAGTGGGAGGATCAGTTGAGCCTCAGAAGTTGAGGCTGTAGTGACCCATGTTCACACCACTGCACTCCAGCCTGGGCAACAGAACCAGACCCCCAGCTAAAGAAAAAACATTAGGCCGGGCGCGGTGGCTCAAGCCTGTAATCCCAGCACTTTGGGAGGCCGAGACGGGCGGATCACGAGGTCAGGAGATCGAGACCATCCTGGCTAACGCGGTGAAACCCCGTCTCTACTAAAAAATACAAAAAAAACTAGCCGGGCGAGGTGGCGGGCGCCTGTAGTCCCAGCTACTCGGGAGGCTGAGGCAGGAGAATGGCATGAACCTGAGAGGCGGAGCTTGCAGTGAGCTGAGATCCGGCCACTGCACTCCAGCCTGGGTGACAGAGCAAGACTCCGTCTCAAAAAAAAAAAAAAAAAAAAAAGAAAAAACATTAGACATTTTCAGGTGTCCCCTGGGGATCAACTTGCCCCAGGGAGAGCCTCTGTGAAGTTGCTGCAGGTGGCTCCAGATTTTTGGAACCTCTCCTGGTGGTTCTGCTGTACAGTCAATTAGAACCTGAATTAGAGTCACCCAGAGGGCTTGTGAGACAGCGCTGGGCCCACCCTGAGTTTCTGACCCAGTGGGCCTGGGGGTAGGTCCCAGGAATTTGCATTGCTGCCAGTTCCCAGGCAGTGCTGATGTGCCCCGTGTGGGGACCACACCCTAAGAAGCACTGCTTTGCTGTCTAGAGCTTCGTTAGGCCCAGTTCCTTCTTTGGGCAAGAGCGCTGTCTAGGTGGGGCTTCCCACAGCCTGTGGTGGCACCTCGGGGCTCTTGTGATGTCTGTTTGTCTCCCCTGCAGGGACATCACAAGTATCTTGCCCCTAGCAGCCTGGTCCCTTCATTGTGACATTGCTGCTGACTTTTCACCTGTGGCTTTGAGAGCCACTGATGATCCTCGTCTGGGTCTGTGATTTGCTGAGGGCTTGTAGGCATTCACATTTCACTCCTGTGATTGTTTCTGCATTTATGGCTAGGAATGGAATTGCATTTCACAAGGCCTTGCTCCCCTTCCTGGGTCGGGGTCGGGTGGACAGGCATGGTGTTGCCCACCAGCCTCTCACCCGCAGTCTGTCTGCAGGATGAAGTCGCTCACACAGTCACCGAGAGCCGGGTCCTCCAGAACACCAGGCACCCGTTCCTCACTGTGAGTTGCCCTCCCTTTCCCAGACAGTGTGAGGCCAGCCTTTGGACAGAGCTCAGAGAAAGAGCCCAAATCTTCTGCTACAAAGCACAGCCTTGGGGGAGGCCAGGCGGCCAGGGCACGGTGTTGCTGCGCCCTGCCAAGTCATCCGAACCGAGACGTTGTGGGGGTGAGCAGGCTCAGGGAGTGGGAGGGTGACAGCTTCTTCAGAGATGGTGGCTTCGTATAAGCACTTGAACCAACTGAAGATAACACATTATTTGATGGCTGCTGTCTCTATGAGTTAGGGCACTTAGCCCAGCTGGTTGAAGTAGAAATATTATTTTGTTTTTGTTTTTGTTTTCAGATATGCTCATAGAAGCAGATGTGTTAGCATTGTGTTGTCTGTCCGCTTGGACTGAGTAGATGCCTATTTGGGCTGCAGTCTCCATCGAGGCCAGTGGCCACCAGTTAAATGGATTAGATTAAGGATGGCTTATGTGTCATTTATTTATCTCAGTTGCTGTCCAGGTATCCTGTTAAGCCACAGTACTTTTTCAAATAAACTCTTATGAGGTACCTCAGTGTAGAAAACAGAATAGTTGAGTTGTCATGAGCTGAGGGACCCCCTGTCCATCCTGTTGTTGAAGTTGGCTCCCAAGCCTTTGCCACTCCCAGCCACAGTAGACATCACTTGTGTGTGTAAGTTGAACACATTTTACTGTAAAAACAAGAGCCCTGGTTGCTCAGTACAGCTCTAGTTTTCCCCTGGCTGTGCCTGATGGAGGCAGAGGACAAGATGGTTCAGCATGTAACCCTTTCCTACCCACAGAGCCATGCCTTCACTTAACGCCCCAAAAGGTGCAGCCAGTATGTGAACCCCATCTGGCTGATTCCCGGGGGCCCCAGCCAGGGCAGCGTGTATGTGTGCAGAATAAGCAGGGCCAGGGCCCTGCCCTGGTGTGGCTCAGCAGAGTCCTCCTCCCTCCCACCTCCTACCCTGCTGCCTTCATCCACCAGGCGCTGAAGTACGCCTTCCAGACCCACGACCGCCTGTGCTTCGTGATGGAGTACGCCAACGGTGGCGAGGTGAGCCGCGACTGCCTTGGCTTTGCCCTCTGGGGCCTTCTTCTTTAGGGTGGGGCGGGTTGGACAGGAGCTGTGGGTGAGATGGAAGGGTGGAGGGAAATTTCAATGTCATCTTGTGCTCCTCTCCCTTGAGGCAGGCGGCATCATCTCCATTTTGGGGGGCGGTCACTGAGGCGCAGAGAGGTTCAGTGGCTTGCCCAGGTTCACATAGCTAGTGAGTGGGTGGGTCAGGTCCACACCAGTCCAGAGAGGTGTGGAGAGGGCTGTGGGGCAACAGCACTGGGAAGGATGGTCTTAAAGGCCCCAGAAAAGGCTCCCAAGGGTTAAAACCTAGCAGCCCTCTGTTCCCGTGTCCTTCCAAAGTGGATTCCAGCAGCCACTCAGCTCCCCCTCACAGACTTACCTCACTTCTGTCACCCACTGCTTGCCTCGCGCCTTCTCTGTGCAGCGGTTGGCACGCCTGTATTGGGATGGGAGGTTTGCTCATCCGTCCGATCTGGGCTTGCCCACGGCCTATTGTTGCTTGGTCATGACGTGTGCTTCTCTTTGCCTCCATGCTGTCCTCCCTCCTCTGTCTTGGATGTCCCTGTCATACCCTCTTGTGGGTGTCTCCTGGTGGACCCTCGCCCTTCACCCCCAGCTCTGTGTCACTCGTGAGCTTCTGCGCTGTGCTTGCTTGGTCCCTGTAGCTGTCACTTACTGGTTCATGACACAGGTGTCACCACATCACTGGGCTGGGGTAGGGGGTTGGGAAGGTGAGGGCAGGTGGGTGGGTTGGGCCTGACCACCTCTCCTCACTCCTTCCTCCTGCAGCTGTTCTTCCACCTGTCCCGGGAGCGTGTCTTCACAGAGGAGCGGGCCCGGTTTTATGGTGCAGAGATCGTCTCGGCTCTTGAGTACTTGCACTCGCGGGACGTGGTGTACCGCGACATCAAGGTTAGTGGCAGGGTGTGCACCAGGCTGACCTGTGGCACGCACACCACATGGGACTCACACTGGGGAGGTGGGACTGAGGCCTTCTGCCCTCATTCGCCAAGCTTCCCACCAAGGTCCAGGGTGGTGGTTCTGTAGCAAGTGGCCCCAAGTAGGGACCTTTCCAAGCCTCCCACGAGCACTCCTAGGCCGCTAGTGGAGTGTGAACTGACACAATCCCTACTTTATTTATTTATATTTATTTATTTATGAGGAGTCCTGCTCCGTTCAGTGCAGTGGTGCGATCTCGACTCACTGCAACCTCCATCTCCTGGGTCCAAGCTATTGTCCTTCCTCAGCCTCCTGAGTAGTTGGGATTACAGGTGCCCGCCACCGTGCCCAGCAAATTTTTGTATTTTTAATAGAGATGGGGTTGCACCATGTTGGCCAGGCTGGTCTCAAACTCCTGACCTCGTGATCCACCCACCTCAGCCTCCCAAAGTGCTGGGATTACAGGTGTGAGCCACTGCACCCAGCCAAGTTTAGAAGATAGTTCGGCAGTGTGTGCACAAGAGAAGTGGGGACACACATTCACCTTAGAAAGTGTCCCCCCCACTCAGCAGCAGGACTCACTGTAGCCCCAACTGGAACAACCCAAGTGCCCACTGTGAGGAGAGGTCAGACCCACTGTGGAGTGTTCGCACAGTGGGGTGCCACACAGCAGTTAGGAATGAGCTACGGCGACACGCGACAGTGTGGACGCATCTCATAGGCTAATGTCGAGGGAAAGCTGCACAGAGGAGGTGAGTCCACAGTTCACAGGTGTGTCTGTGTGCAGTGGTACAGACGGGAAGTAGAGGTTAATTCTTGTGGGGGATGGTCAGTAACTGGGAGGGGCACACAGGGCCTTCTAGGGGGAGATGCCATCTCAGCCTCGCAAGCAGCTGGGACTATAGGTGTGTGCCACCATGCCTGGCTAATTTATTTTTCATATTAAAAAATATGGAGATGGGGTCTTGCTGTGTTGCCCAGGCTGGTCTCAAACTCCTGGGTTCAAGCAGTCCTGCCGCCTAAGCTCCCCAAAGTGTGAGCCACTTTGCCTGGCTGCATATTTCATAATTAAAAGACAAAAAGTCTAGGAAAAAAAAAAATAGAAGAAAGCTTGTGCCCCCATGTTCAAACGTAAGAACCTGCAGCTGACAGTGGGGGCAGTGGGTGGACAGGGCCTGGCTCTCGGTTCTCCCTGCCCAGCTGTTTCCAGGTACCCTGGGGGTGGGCCAGGGCGTGGGGAGGGTTGGGTCTGGCCTCTCTCTGAGCCTCAGAGGGTGAGGCTGTGTGTGCTGGGCCCAGCCTGGCATGGGAGGGTTGATGTCCAGGAGCCCCTGGCATCTTTCCCTGGAAGGAAAGGCTGGGGTAGCAGGAACCCCTCGGAGCACACGCCTGAGATCCATTGACTTTTGCAACAGCTGGAAAACCTCATGCTGGACAAAGACGGCCACATCAAGATCACTGACTTTGGCCTCTGCAAAGAAGGCATCAGTGACGGGGCTACCATGAAAACCTTCTGTGGGACCCCGGAGTACCTGGCGCCTGAGGTGTCTGGGGTTTGCGGGGGGAGTAGGAACATGTGAGGCCAAGGGAAGGGGGAACCCCCAGACCTGTGTGTTTCCAGCCCAGATGCCCTGAGGGCAGGACTGTGATGCCAGCCTCAGGGCCACGGGCCCAGCCCTCATTTCCCCTCCATCCTCAGGTGCTGGAGGACAATGACTATGGCCGGGCCGTGGACTGGTGGGGGCTGGGTGTGGTCATGTACGAGATGATGTGCGGCCGCCTGCCTTTCTACAACCAGGACCACGAGCGCCTCTTCGAGCTCATCCTCATGGAAGAGATCCGCTTCCCGCGCACGCTCAGCCCCGAGGCCAAGTCCCTGCTTGCCGGGCTGCTTAAGAAGGACCCCAAGCAGAGGTGAGGGCTGACATCGGCCCTGTCCAGTCCAGCCCAGCGCCACCTGCTGCCACTGTCCCTGCAGCCTGGAGGGGGCAGCGTTCACAATGGCGCTCGCTTGTGTGGTCGCAGTGTGTGTTGTCCCCACACAGCCCCTGAAAATGTCCACAGTGGCACTTAGGGAGTGCTCCCCCCAGGGCAGGCCCATCCTTGACACTGCCTTATGGGGGACACTTTTATGGGGACACTGAGAAACAGGGCATCCCTAGGCCTGGCTGGGGCCGCCAAACCATATGTGGCAGAGCCAGGATAGGAACTGAGCCTGCCCTGCTAACTCCCTTTCTGGACTCAAGGGTGAGGCCAGGCTGTGAGGACACATGGGTCCAGGTTGCTGACTCCCTGGCTCAGACCCTGGGCAAGTGAGCTCCCTCCCTGAGCCTCGGTTTCCTCCTGTGAAGTGGTGGTTTGTGGTCAAGATAGAATCATTAAAGGCCATACAGGGCCTGCCTGTGCCGAAAGCCCGTCTCCCCGAACCCAGCTGCTCTGGGAGGCAGGTGCTGACGGCCATCTCTGCCCAGGCTTGGTGGGGGGCCCAGCGATGCCAAGGAGGTCATGGAGCACAGGTTCTTCCTCAGCATCAACTGGCAGGACGTGGTCCAGAAGAAGGTGAGCCCCCACTGCCTGCCCCAGCTGGACCCTCAGGGGCCTGGCCCGCTCGTGCTGACCTTGGTTGATGCCTCCTGGCCTCAAGGTCCCTGAGCCTGAGCTCCTCTCCTCCGTAGCTCCTGCCACCCTTCAAACCTCAGGTCACGTCCGAGGTCGACACAAGGTACTTTGATGATGAATTCACCGCCCAGTCCATCACAATCACACCCCCCGACCGCTGTGAGTGCCTGGGGCCCCCGTGCTGGTGTGCCTGCCCCGGTGGTGGGGGGATGGGGTCTGCTCTTAACCCACTTCTCGAGGAAGGCCCTTGAAGGCCCCTGCTTCATGTCTGGGAGGTTTCCCCCAAGGTCTGCTCTCAGGTCCTTTTGCTGTTGGTCCTCTTTGGACTTGGTGAGGCCACCAGGAGCCATTGGCTGCAGCACATTCTGGAGCTCAGTGCGGGGGTTCAGGGCAGGAGACAGCCAGGTCTGTGAGGCTGGCTGGGTTCACTGCTTTACAGCTGTTTGAATTCTTACTCTGAACCCAGCCCGGTGCTGGGCTATGCTGGGGACACAGCACTGATTGAGCCAGCCCTGGGCCCTGCCCTGGAAAGCTCCCAGCCCAGGTAGGGTGGATGGCCTGGAGTGGTCAGGGCTAGGCTGTGGGAGCCCAGGGACTAGGGAATCCCAGAGGAAATAGCTGACATGGCCTGCAGTTAGGGAGGGCTTTCTGGAGGAGGAAGCAAACACGTCAGCTGGCCAGAGGAATGGGAGGAATGGCATGTGGGATGCCAGCAATGGGAGAAGCATGGCACAGCCAAGGACAGGCAGCAGCCGGGAAGAAGAGAGGGCATGGGGCTGGAGTGCAAGGGTCTGGGGGCCACTGGGAGGGTTGGGGACTGCTTGCATGGGGGGAGCCAACCAGAGAAGGGTTTCGTAGAGAGAGGGACAGGGTTAAAGAAGGCCTTTAGAAAGCCGCCCCCTGGGCTGCCTGTGGAGAATGGATGGGAGGGCGCGAGAGGCAGGCCAGGACAGGGCTCTGGGCTGGACCCTGGCGTAGTGGTGTATGGAACAGAGAGAAAGTGGGAGGCTCAGAAGGCCCTGCCAGCTATGGGGCGCATGGGCAAGGGCACAGGAAACTCCCAGAGGAGGCTGCCCGGGGCTCAGGTTTGGGGAGTGGAGCCGTGGCTGAGGGGCTCCATTGCGGAGGGAGGTTTCTGGGCCTTTCCTGTCTGTCCTGTGGGCAGCCCCCGCCAGCTGGGGCCATTTCCCCAGGGAGTCTGGGCAGGTGTCCCCAGGCCCTCTCCTGACCGGTCCTCCCCATCCACCTCCGCCGCCCTCAGATGACAGCCTGGGCTTACTGGAGCTGGACCAGCGGACCCACTTCCCCCAGTTCTCCTACTCGGCCAGCATCCGCGAGTGAGCAGTCCGCCCACGCAGAGGACGCACGCACGCACGCAGCCATCACCGCCGGGTGGTTTTTCCCCTAACTTTTTACTTTGCCTTTTTGGTTTGTGTCCCCACCCCCACCCCCACCTCCTCACCCCCTTTCCAGTTCTTCTTCAGGCCCCTCCCAGACGCACCCCAGCAGCCCCTGCAGCCCCTGCCTCCAGCCTCACCTTTGTGCCCAGACTCGCTTTTGGGATACTCCACCTCTCGCCCAGGCCTGGGCTGTTGGAGAGATTCAGGTTTTAATCTACACAAGCCCCAGTGAGGGGTGAAGCCTGACGCCCGGGGCCTGCCTGAGTTTCTGGCCCGGGTGTCGTGCTGGTGGCTGCCTCCGCGCTGCTGCTTCCGGACGAAGGCTGCCTTCTGGTGGGACGCGACACCCGGCAGACAGTGGTGCTGCCTTCCAGGCCCCGTGGCCTAGGCTAGGAGTGGCCAGGCACGGGGCGGTCCAACCCCCCACCTGCTGTCCCCCCATGGGGGCAGAAAAGCAATAATGTCCAGGGGCAGGCAGGGGCCCTTGGGAGCTGCAGGGTTGGGGGTTAGGGCTGCTCCCTGGTGAATGGAGCCAGGTCCCAGGATCTGCGCCATGGGGAACCGGGAGGGGCCGGGCTGGGCGCCGCCTCCTGGTCCTGTCTCCTCTCCACCAAGCTGCCCTCACCCTATGGATTGAGGCAGGAGGAACATTTGGGGGCAAACCTGCCTGCCTCCCAGCCCCGTGCCTTACTAGGGCTTCCTTCCAGCTGGCCTTACCTCCTGCTGGACCCCAGGCCTGGCCTAACCCCATTGGGGGCTGTGGGCTGGGCTCACCCCCTTCTCGGCGGGGGTGGAGGGGCACCAGTCTCGGCTGTTACAATCTTACACCGGACAGTATTGGGCCGCATGGACTTGGTCAGGGAGGGGTGGGGGTGGGCATCTCCGGTAGCTATTGGGGTGGGGGGCCTCTGAGAAGGGAGACTCCTAGGCCCCCTCATCCCTCCCTCTCCCCAGGGCCCCATGTTCTGCAGCCTTAAGGTTGAACGTGAACGCACGTCCATGTCAGTGCTGTGGGACTCCTGTGCGTGCCTCGGACTGCGTGTGTCGGCGGGATGCAGGCACATGTGGGTGTGTGTGCATGTGTGTTGTGTGTGAGGGCAGCGTGTCCTCCAGTGTGCGTGGTGTGTGGGCTTGGGCCCCATCCCTGGCCCGAGCATTTCATCCTGTGGGGGAGGGGTGCTGACCTAGTGGGAGGAGCCCCGCCTTGATCCATGAGCTGCCCTGCCCACGCCTCCCCTCCCTGCAGCAACACCTCTGGGTGTTTGGAGTTCAGCTTTTGTGGGTTTGCTCTCCCTACCCCATCTCCTGTACGATGCAGTTCATGGCAGGGTGGGGAGGGTGGGGTTGGTTCGGGTGGGTGAGGGTCTTTTTCCTCTGTGTGCGATGTCGTTATCTGACAGTTCTCCTCCGTCCCTACTGGCCTTTCTCCTCGTCTTCATATTTGTACGGTACAAGCAATAAAGACACTCATTTCAGACCAGGGCCCAGCCTGCACTCACGCCGGCCCAGCCACTCTGGGCCTTGCCTTGGTGATGGAGTCGGACCCCTGGGCCCCAGCTCCTCCTGTAGTAGTCGCTCCCTTCAGCAAGCAGGGCGCTGAGCAGGGGCGTGGAGGTGAGAAGGAGCTCAGGGCCAGGGCAGCTGGGGTGTGTGCAGGAGCTCAGGCTGGAGAGGGTGGGTGCAGCTGGTGCTGTGGGGCTGAGGGGTGTGGGGAGGCTCCACGCTTGTGGGGCTGTGGTGGACAGAGACCTCTCCAGGCCCTCAGTGCTGCTGAAGCTAAGAGAGGTGGGGTGGAGGGACAGGGCTGGAAGATCTGGGTAGTCCAAAATGAGGAGGGTGCCTGTGCTGTCACGGAGTGAGGGAGTGGTTCATTCCGCAGGGCTGCCGAGCCTTAGAGGGGGGCATTCCTGTCCTGCCCCACCTCCCCATTTATGCTGCCACCCGGAAGCCTCGAGGCCCCCAAATTCCAGTACAGACCCAGTGGTGTGTTCATGGTGGTGTGGCTGCTGTCTCCTGGGAGCTCCTGAGCGTTTGGTTGGAACCCCGTTCAGCTTGGGGTCAGCCCTCCGCTAGGCGCTGCCCTTTAGCCTGACTGTGTCTGGGCCCCTGCACTTCCCATGCTTGAGTCACGTGGCCACATGGCCGGGCACTGGCCGGATGGCACGCCTCCCCCAGCCAGGGACCAGGGACCAGAGCTTTGGCCTGCCCTGCTGAGCCCTGCTGTGCAGAGGGCCTGGCACAGATGAATTTGAGATTTTGCCACAAGGTGTTAGCACTTCACACCCGTTGAGTCTTTGAGATTTTAAGTGAATATAAGCAGAAAAAGATCCAATTTACAGAAATCAGAGTTAGTTACAGCTAAGACTCGTGTTCGGTTGGGGTTTTTTAGTTTGTCTTTCTAAAGTCCTGTGTACCTTAATTACAAAAGTCTACCCTGGTGGTCATAAGCAGGCAGGCCTATAAAGAGAGGCCTTTTACTCTTCCTTCTCGTCCCAGCCCCGAATTGACCCACGTTGCTGCTGCTCACACCACGGTGACGCAAGTCTGGTGTGGGCACAGGCCTGGCTACCTCATCTTGTTAGTGGCTCTCTCCTCTTCCACAGGATGGGGGCCCACAGCTGCAGCAACCGGCCCCATAGTTGAGCACATGTGGTTATCCTATAGAGCTTTTCCCAAGGAGGGTGTTTGAACTTAGAGTCTTAATAAAATCTTACCAAATAAATTTTGAGTAGAATAATCGTCTTTTGCAATGTACATTTTAAAAATTTCACAAGTTCTTTTTTGTATATAAAGAACAGTAGACTGGGCACAGTGGTTCACGCCTGTAATCCCAACACTTTCAGAGGCCGAGGCGGGCGGCTCTCTTGAGCCCAGGGGTTTGAGACCAGCCTGGGCAACATGGGGAGACCTTCATCTCTACAAAAAATACAAAAATTAGCTGGGCATGGTGGTGCATGCCTGTCATCCCAGCTGACTTGGAAGGCTGAGGTGGGAAGATCACTTGAGCCCAGGAGTTTGAGGCTGCAGTGAGCTGTGATTGCGACACTGCACTGCAGCCTGGGACAGTGAGACCGTGTCTCTAGAAAAAAAAAAAACATGATACATGCCATTTAAAAAGACAGCAAAGCAGGAGTATAAGAAAGTAAATTCACCCAAGGTCTCAGGACCTTGAGTACTCACTTTGGTGCTGATTACCTCTGTGCAAATGGACACAGCATAATAAATTGGTAGTTTCCTGCTGTTTTTGCATCATCATTTCCAGTTAATGTGAAGCCTCTGGGGGCTGCCCTGTGTGCATTGATGACTGTGTTGAGTCAGGGGTAGCAGTGAGATTCCCTTTTAGCTGCTGCATTTGGGGAACTCAGACTTTCCAGCTGCTTCCTCAGGGTAGACTCCTCAGCCGGTTCAGCCGCCCTGTTAAAAGGAATTGACTTGGTTTCATTTGGTGCTACCAGCAGTCCTGTAATAAACTTTAGCTATCTGTCTGTACTGTGCTTGTGCTTTTGTTTGTCGTCTACATCCCTCGATTTTAACGTCCAATACCTTCCCAAAAAAGTGTAGCCATTCACATAAATAAATTTTGAAATAATTGGAGACTTGCAGAAAACTTTGAAAAATAATACTGTACTAAGATTATTCCAGGCCTGGGGCAGGAAATGTACAAGATGAGCCTGGGGCGTCCTGCAGTGCCTGAAAGTAAGCACAGATGTGCTGAAGTCACAGGGACACAGGAGCCAGCAGAAAGCTCCCAGTGGTCAAAGCTGAAAAGAATTTGAACAACAAAATAAATAGCATAATATTGGGTTTTCACCCAAAATGTGAAATAAGTCTACTGCTAAGTGACAAAATGGTGTGAATACACAAATCTACACAAAATCATAAGTAATTTCTGTAGACAGCCTTCAAGGAGGGCTATGTAACCCCCACTTCTTAGGTGTGGGCTGCAGTAGCTCCTCCAAAGAGTGCAGTGTGGAGAGGGGGGAAAAAGTAACTTTTCAGTGAAGATCTGACAAACATCATCCAGCCGATCGAGGTCAACATTGCCCATGAATCCCCCTCACGGTGTCCCTTTAATGTGATGTAATAGAAGGGCATTTTCCCTCTGATCCTCCTCCCGCAGACACACACCACCTCCCTGAGAGGAAGCAGACATCAGATCTCAGTTGAGGGATTTGTCTGTCAAGGTGGTTAATCAGAAAAGTCTGAGAAAGTGACACATCCAAGATAAACTGAAGGAGTCATGGTGACTAAATGTGTCCTGAAATAGAACGTAGGGAAAAAGGAAGGCTGAATAAAGCATGGACTTAGTAGATGAATATTGGTCTAACGGATTGTGACAAATGGGGCACACTAATACAAGATGTTCATCGGGGAAATTGGGTGTGGGGTAGGTGGGAACTGTCTATTCAAAAATAAAAGTTATGTAAAAGGGTTACAAAATATACCCTTCACCAGGTTCTTCATAGCATTTTATTTAAAACGGACAAAAATGGGATCGGAATTTTCCATTTAGCCCTCCACCTCCTGCTCCACGTCTGTATACCTTTTCCAGAGAACATTCTGCTACATAACTGCTCTCCAGTTGTCAAGGTCAGGAAGCTAACATTGAAACCGCTGTTCTTTACAGATTTTATAATGTCCGCTAGTGGTCACACTTAATGTCTTTGTATGTTAAAAATTCCTAGCTAATGACCAGGCTCACACGTTGCATCCAGTTGGCAGGTGTGAAACCCACAGGACAGTTATTTTGCAGTTATTTTCCCTCAACCAGGGTTGGTTACCTCACGGTTTTCTTTGTTTTTTTTTTGAGACAAGAGTTTCGCTCTGTCACCCAGGCTGGAGTGCCATGGTGTGATCTCAGCTCTCTGCAACCTCGGCCTCCAGAGTTCAAGCGATTCTCCTACCTCAGCCTCCTGAGTAGCTGATGTGACAGGCACCCACCACCACACCCAGCTAATTTTTGTATGTTTAGTAGAGACAGGGTTTCACCATGTTGGCCAGGCTGGTTTCGAACTGACCTCCAGTGATCCGCCCACCTCAGCTTCCCAAAGTGCTGGGATTACAGGCTGAGTCACTGCGCCTGGCCTAAAGGTTTATTGTTTGTTAAGCTACTTACCTCTCACCATTTGCCCACAAGGGAATTCCTTGTGGACAAGACAGAGTTCAAAGTCATCCCTGTGCTTCCGTGAGACAAACCCATATCTGATGGCTTCCTCTGCCCTATTGTTTGAGCAAGACTAGGCATGGATGACTGTACCTGTAAATCGTGCATTCAGTAAATGGCTAATCAAACTCAAAGCAGCCGTTCGTCTCTTGTCTATGACCTGGAAGCCCCCTCTCCTGCTTCAAGTTGTCTCGCCTTTCGGGACCGAACCAGTGTACAGCTTACACATATTAATGACGTCTCATGTCTCCATAAAAATGATAAAACCAAGCGGTGCCCCGAACACCTCCTGAGGCTATGTCACGGGCACGTCCTTAACTTTGGCAAAATAAACTTTCTAAATTGATTGAGACCTATCTCAGATACCTTTTGGTTTACATAGTTAATAAGCATCTTGTGTAGAGGCATTTTGTAGATACCCTGATTCCTATCAGATGTTCACCCACTAGTTTGAACATCTATTGATGTTTCTTGCATGAAACGATGCTGTGGTGGTTGCCAAATAGAATTTTCCATCCTTCTATATTTATTAGTTCGGCCAGGCATGGCTCACACCTGTAATCCTAGCACTTTGGGAAGCCAAGGCGGGAGGATCACTTGAGCCCAGGAGTTCAAAACCAGCCTAGGCAACAAAGTGATACCCCAGTCTCTACAAAAAATTTTAAAATTAAGCAAGCATGGTGGCACACGCCTGTAGTCCCAGCTACTTGAGAGGCTGAGATGGGAGGCTCACTTGAGCCTAGGAGGTTTAGGCTGCAGTGAGTCATGTTCACACCACTGCACTCCAGCCTGCGTGACAGAGTGAGACCCTGTCTGAAAACAAAACACATCTATTAGTTCACATTCTAAGGATTAGAAGAGCTTTTCTTTCCCACTGTCTGAGTTATATCAGAATAAACATGTATTTTAATTTTATTCAGTGGTTTGTGATCTGTGACTATCATCTTGATGCTCACATTTTCTAGATTTAGCTAGTGACTTCTGCATCTATGTGACTTGCCCTGCCATTGGGACACTTTCTGCCACACAAAAGTATTCCAGATCTTGTACCTTCTCTTGTATGACCCTGGGATCAGCCATTTCTCCAGGTAGACCTGGTTCCTTTTAGTGGAGAATGGGATGCGGCGGCCAGGGCCTGGATGGTACCGGTGCTTCTTACTATTGGGGTGTCGTTGCTCTTAAACCCTCCCAGTGGACTAAGCTAGGAAATACATGTTTGCATACCCAACACTTATTTCTATATATGTGTTCACACAATTTTATCCCCAATTCCATTGTGACACCGACACCACAAGGGTCATTCTAACCTCTGATCTATGTTTGTACATCCATCCTCTGACGGTACAAACCCTGATTCTACATTTTGAAATCATCCTGACTTTATGGTCGAGGAAAGTGAGGCTCAGAGGGGCTGCTTCTGGGCAGCAGGATGAGGCTCTGTCTCCAGCTGCCCGACCTCAGAGGGCTTCAAGAGGACAGAGCCAGCCTGCGGGGCACTCGCCTTTGTGCACCTGCCTAGGCGAGGCGGGCTCAGTGCGCACGCGCCCAGGCGCATTTAAAGCACCCGCCGCGCCTCTCTTCCCCTAGCTGTAAGGGTCGGTGCTTGGCCTCGCCCGCAACACCCTCCTGGAGGATGCTGGTGAGAGGCAGGGACCAGGGGCCCGGCTCCCGGCTCAGGCCTCTCTTTAGGCGCTGAGTCCCCAGGCCCTCTCCTTTGCAGAGTCCCGCTGCCTCCCTCGATGCAGAGCCTTCGAGCGACCCAGTCCCCGACGGCTTCCCCTCGGGCCCCAGTGTCTCCCCAAGACGCCTGGAGAGGCCGCCGGGGCTGGAGGAGGCGCTGAGCGCGCTGGGGCTGCAGGGAGAACGCGAGTACGCCGGGGACATCTTCGCCGAAGCCATGGTGAGCCGACCCGCCGCCTGCCCTGGTGAGGCCGACGCCAGCCCCCCCACCCAGCACCCACTCAACACCACCTCTGAACTCCCACCGCTCCAGCCTCTCTCCTCCCCATCACTGGCGGCCGGCGTTCCTTCTCTGCAACGTCCAGGCTGTTGTTTTGTTTTCACAGAGCACCGTTTCTACCGCTGGGAATGCCCTTTCCCACCGTCCCCGGGCTGTTTACAGCCCCTCCTGGGGTGTTTGTGGTCCCCGTACTTATCCTCCACATTTATTCAACAAATATTTAATGGTTTAGTAGCAAATGTTTTAAGCGCTGGAGATGCTGCAGTGCTGGCCTCGTTCTGGGGAGATGAGCAAACACATAGGACAGTTAGGGAAAGGCCATCCACACCAAAGCGTTGCCCTTGCCAGCCTTCAGACATCCCTATGAGAGGGGTGCTGCGGCAGGAAGACTGAAGGGAGGAGTTTATTTAACGTCTTGCCAGCGACTCTCTTGGGCCAGGATCTCTGTTAGGACCTGAGAGACACCTGTGTTCTGGGCAGAAGTCCCTGCCCTCGTGGGACTGGCAGCCTAGCGGCCAAATAGACAAAGCATACAGGGAGACATCTTCAGAGTGAAAATGCTGAGACAAAGAGATAGTGATCGGGTGGGAGGAGTATAGATAAAGTCATGGAGATGTTAGTTGAATGACGGAAAGGCCGTGCAAGGAGTTGGGGAAGGACCCTCTCTGTAGAAGAAACAGGAAGTGCAAAGGAGCTGGGGTAGGAATGGGCTTGGTATAGTCTAGGAGCCAAGAAGGTGGCTGTGGCTGATGTGTGGGTTGTCGGGGGAGAGAGGGAAGAGGTGATGTTGAAGCAGAGCCTGAAAGAAATTAGAGTTTTCTCCAAGGGTACTGGGAGCTATGGAAGGGTTTTATAAGCTGGGGAGTTCCTTGGTCAGATCTTTCTTTGGGAAGACCCTTTTGGGTGCTCTGAGGCAGAGAGGTTGAGGATTGGTGGTCAAGAGTTGAAGTCTGAGGCTGGGCGCAGTGGCTCACACCGGTAATCCCAGCACTTTGGGAGGCCAAGGTGGGCAGATCACCTGAGGTCAGGAGTTCAAGACCAGTTTGGTCAACATGGTGAAACCCCGTCTCTACAAAAATACAAAAATTAGCCGGGCGTGGTGCTGCATGCCTGTAATGCCAGCTACTCCGGAGGCTGAGGCGAGAGAATCACTTGAACCCAGGAGGCAGATGTTGCAGTGAGCCGAGATCGTGCCATTGCACTCCAGCCTGGGCAACAGAGTGAGACTCCGTCAAAAAAAAAAAAAAAAGGTGAAGTTCTGGGAACCTAGGGGGAGACACCCAGGAGACTATGTGGCTCTGGGGGCTACAGACTGGAGAGGTGGGTATGGAGGCATCTGAAACAAAGCCCAGAGTTCTAGG